AACTGATCTTTAATGATGCGTGGACGGCCATGCGTAAGCTCGGAGCAGGCCCGCCACTGGAATTCTCCAGACCATCTCAGACCTTGATGACCCCGATGCCTCATTCTACAGGCTCAGGGGGCTCATCGGTGGTCCCTGTTGCAGCAGAAGACTCGAGCAACCTACCGAAGGTCAGATCGAGTCGAGAGGTCATAGTTCCACCGTCGGCGCAACTATATTTAGTTGTGGTCGTGTCGGCAGGACCACTACGGAGCACAAGGGATCCAGCTAGTCAACAACTCATCATGTCGACGAAGAAGGGCAAAGCCCCACCAAATAGAGGCATAATTCATATGATTTCGGGAGGTCCTACGTATTAGGACTTGAATAATGCAATAAAGCAGCATGATCGTGATGCTAAGAGGAAAAGAGAGGAGGTCGCATCAGAGCGACAACACTAGTGACTAGCTTCAAGGCTGAGGATGTCCAGGGCTTGCATACGGCCCATAATGATGCCCTAATGATTAAAGCGGAGGTAGCGGGCTACAACGTGCAACAAATATTTATTGATACTGGGAGCTCGGTTAATGTTGTGTTTTACGATTGTTTTAGGTAGACATGGAAAAACGGTCTGGCGGGGTTATTTGGAAGGAGAGGGGGGGACAGGCGGGCCTACAAATAGCCAACCCGGCCCATCCCTACCATGGGCCACGAGCTAGGCGGGCTGGCTCGCCATAATATACATATATATAAAATAAAAAAAAAAAAAATTGGCCATATCTCTAAGCTACAACCCACTTGTTTTCCTTTCGATTTTTTCCCCGGCTCACTTTTTCTTCCAATCCCTTTTTCTCTCTTCTGTTTTCCTCCCCATTTTTTTTCTCCCGCAGTCCACTTTTTTTCCTTTACCTTCTTTCGCTCTTCTATTTTCCTCCCCATTTCTCTTTTTCTCACGCAACCCTTTACTTTTCTTTTCCTTTCTCTCTCATCCTCTTCTCTCTTTTCCACTCCTTAATTTCCCGACCGTCTACACTCACAACCTTTTTTCTCTTTTTTTTTCACACATTTCCCGATTCCAACACATATAAAAAATGAAGTTTTTGTCTAAAGTTTTACTTATCAAAATATCTCAACTGCCAGATCCGATGGAGGACGGCGGCGACAGAGAGTGCAAGACGATGACAGGAGCAGTGAGTGCAGGGCGTCGAGTGGTAGCGGCATAGTTGGTTGTTTGTGAAAGTGAATTTCAAGATTTGGGATTGATTATTCATATTTGTTGAGTCTCATTTTAATTTAATCATCTGCCATTTGTCTTCTCCTTTAGTCACCATTACTATGTTTGACAGCCATTCTGGGAACTGAATTTCCACAATGTGACTTGCTGCCAGCAACTTGTCTACCTCATGCTCAATGACCTTGTCCATTTGTGCCTCATGGTGCCTCCTCTTTTGCTTTATTGGTCGGACCTTGAGGTTGGTGTTTAGCCGGTGCTCCATGATGCTGACATCAATACTTTTCAACTCTTCTAAATTATATGCAAGGATATCCAAAAACTCCTTAATCAAGTTGATAAGACTTGTTCTCAATGACTCAAACAGATTCCTTAGATCTAAAACTTCCAATCGTTGCACCCCCCAATCATATGCACTTTAACTATCTCTTCCCCGAGTTGTATTCGACCTTCTCCTTTCTCTTGTCACTTTTTGACCTCGTCTCTTCCTTCCTCGAACTACTCTCTGCTCTATTTCATTTCTCTTTTGTCCCTTTTTCTTAACACCTTACTTATGAGCCTTCACTAACACTTGATAGCACGACCTTAACGTGAGCTAATCTTCCTCGACCTCACCGACCAGCCCACCGACCGAATAGTTTATTTTCATGTGATAGGTCAATATCCACAGCTTGAAATGCGTTGAGATTTGTCCTTCCTCGGATGATATTATATGCAACTTCAGCTCCTACAATCAGAAATCGCACTATCTTAACTTTTCTCCTCGAGCCCATCCCAAGGGTGACCGGCAGGGTGACCTCACCCATGGGGACGACCTCCTCTCCATTCAATTCATACAACGATGTGATAACCTCCTTTAGATCTACATCAAGATTCATCCACCTAAAACTAGACATGTCAAAATGGGCCTAAGCCCGCGGGTCGGCCCGTCCCGCCCCGCCAAAAGAGTGGGTCGGGCTAGTGTTTCGGTAGCCCGCCAAACCGCGGGCCGAAACAGGTTAGCCCGCGCGGGCCGCGGGTTTTGGCGGGTCAAGCCGAGCGAGCCGCAGGGTAGCCCGCCTTAATAAAGTAATAAATATATAATATAAACGGCTAGAGAAGACTGAAAGCGAGTATGTTTTGTCACAAACAAAGGGACATATTGCTATGTTGTGATGTCTTTTAGCTTGAAGAATACATGGGCGACGTATCAAGGATTGGTCATATGATTTTTTAGGAACAATCGAGGAAGAATATTGAGGTCTATGTGAATGATATGCTTGTCAAAATTAAGTTGGAAGTTGATCATATTGCAGACTTGAGGGAGACGTTTAACACATTGAGAAGATTTTGGATGAGGTTTAACCCCACCAAGTGTGCATTTGAGGTAAAATTAGGGAAGTTCCAGGGGTATATGGTTACCAGAAGGGGATCGGGGTCAACCTCAAGAAGGTTCGAGCTATGTTGGATATGCGACCACCTAGGAACATCAAGCAAATCCTGACAGGTCGAATCACTAGTCTGATCAGATTTATTTCCAAGGTGGCTGAGAGGAGCAGCTCACTATCGAGAACATTGAAAAAGAGCTCGAGATTTGTATGGACTGAGGAGGAGCAGAAGGCGTTCGGTGATCTGAAGGTCGTGCTTGCAGATTTACCCCTATCGGCCAAACCTATTGATAGTGAGGACCTGGTGTTGTAGATATCGATTGGAGTAGCCGTGGTGAGCTCGATACTCTTGAGGGAGGAAGAAGTTGCACAATTTCCTATTTATTATGTCAGTTGGGTGATGCAAGGTGTCCAGCTAAGATATTCTGAGATCGAGAACGGCGCATTGGCGGTAGTCGTGATGGTGCAGAAGTTGGGGCCTTATTTATTAACTCACAAGGTTCAAGTATGGACAAATCTTCCCTTGGAGAAAACGTTGGGAAGACCTGATGTTAGGTTAAATGGTAAAATGGGCAATCGATCTGAGTGAGTATTCTATCAGTTATGAACCTCGGAGATCTCTTAAAGCTCAGGTTTTGATAGACTTTATCCAAGAGGGAACTACAGTTGAGCTGGAGATTGAAGAAGCATGGTAGGTTTTTCTCGATGGTTCGGTATCGAAGGGAGAGGCTGGGTTAGGCGTCGTTCTAATCTCACCCAAAGGTTTCATTTGGAGTTTTCGGCCAAGATGGGTTTTCAAGTGTCCACCAACGAGGCCGAGTAAGAAGCATTGTTGAAAGGATTGCAGTTGGCTGCTGAAGAGCTCATCAAGTCCAAATTCGCTCGAATTCCCAGTTAGTCGTAGGACAATTACAAGAAAGAGTAATTATAATTTTTTTTAATTATTCTGTCACAGTTAAAACAATAACAAATATCAATTATAGATAATACTTAATAAGTAAAAAAATAAAAAATAAAACAAATATTTGAGGTTGAGTTGTGGATGAAGACAAATTATATTGTAAGGTTAGATTGTGCAAGTAAAAGAGAAATAATTTTGAATTATTCGTTGATTTGGGTTGAATTGAGAATACAAATGGTCTTAAGAGGCAATTAGCCTTGTAGGTAGAAAAATGACAAAGACAAACTAAAGAGGGCTTCTCCTAGGAGCTTCAAAATGCCTTGTTCTTGTCTTCCTTTGTTTGGGATTTCAGGTTCAAATGGAGACAAAACTGTTTACAAGAATTTAAGGGAAAGGAGGCTGGCGAAATAGAATAGAAAGGTTCATTTGTGTAAAAGTTAATGCAACTTCAAATATTCAAGTGTATTTGAGGGTAATTCCGCTGTTGTCCAAAAATAACGGATACACAAGGAACCAATAATGGAAAAAGAAATGTTATTCCACAAATACGGTTTTGCTATGAAGCCAACAGTTGGCTTCATAGTGATCAAAACCATCCACAAATAAATAAATAAACATGTATTATATGGTCAAAACCAATGGCTTGTGATTCATATTCAATTAGCCTCAGTACTTGTACAGAAAGTTTCCTGTTTCAGATCTTGAATCAAAGCACATATCATCAAAGGCAAAAGGTATAAATAGCTCAGATTCTAAGCATCACCACAACTTCACCAAAATGTTCCCATTTCATATTTTCCAACTCACCTTCCACACAGTTTCTTTGGCGCCAAATAATTCAGCACGACATTTTTTACCGTGATAAGGCGAATAACGAATTTTTGCATGATACGGGACTTGGATATGATCTTTTTCTTCACAATCCACAGTATAGGTACTACAACTAAGTAATATCAATCACGGGCATAATTAAAACAACTAGCTTTGAGATCTGACACCTTTTTTTTTCTTTTTTTTTTTTCGAATCAAAATAATCTTTCAGAATTACATATAGTCTATGCATTTGAATGAAATGCTTTGGTGCTAATGATAGTGAGTCCATAATAGCAGGCACTGATGTTTGGGTAATCCTGATAAACCGTTATCGAAGGATTACAAATCCTCCTCAGTATTTCTTATTAGTATTAGTGAGCTATGCATTACAAATATTTGTTAGTCTGTTGAAATTCTTTGCCCAAATCCTCCCCTCAAATGCAAATCCATCCGCACAAATGCACCTACAGAAATTACGAACACCCTCTTGAGAATCATTGTATTTTCTTAAGAAATTTCACGGCATGGATGTAATTTATGAAATAGAAACAAATTTCTGGGGGGATTAGTAATTTTGAAAGATAGCTAGAACTTTTTGGAATTCAGTGTAGCTTTATATTATCATCGGTCAAATCCGGAAGGCAAAATAGGACACAGAAACTTGAAGAGTTTTACCAGTTTACTCAGTTTTCTGCCAAAGACATTGTGTTTATTTGGAAACCAAAACACTGGACTGGAGAAAGGCAAGTCGATTTCTTGTTAAATTCAACTTCTCTTCTGCTTCTGCTGCTTTTTCTCGAACCCCGAGCACAATATCTTCAGGGGCTTTCTCTACAAACTGTAAACAAAAATCATGAGAATGTGAAGGGGCTGTAGGTATAAAGTATTACCATAAGAATTTAAAGACAGAATAACCCACAGGATATTTTAAAACAGAAGCAAAGGTAATTCTCTACGATGAGCACAACACAGCTTGTACTCATACAGACTTCGCATGTTTTCTACCTTGTATATTATACACATAGAAGTTGAAGGGACCTTGATTACATATAAGCAGTTATACTATGGAGCAATCAGATAGCACGGCTTATGGAGTCATCCACAATTATAATAAATGGTGTATTGACACATTCTTATAAAAGATACACTTGGGACATTTGTCAGTACATCAATTCATAGACGGCTCCCCAGCCATTGACTCCATTATCTACATAGGAATATGTGAGTGTGTATATTATGCAAGTTCGGTGATCACCAGATAGGGATGTTCACTGATTTGAACTTAAAAAAACTTCCGACTTTCTCGAATTAACATTTTCGAACTGAACTCAAAATTCAAAACCAATTCAAAAATCTAATTGAAGATAGGTCCACAACCCATATATGTAGCAGATTCAAAACCAGTAACTTTATAATGAAATTTTAAATTTCACCTCTCTTTCTTTTCTTCTTCCACCCTTGATACAATACCCAAATCAACATTAAATACAACTTTTCTCGAATTCACCTCGCGTTAGTACAAAATCCTGATTTCATTTGAAATAAAAAGCTCTTGGTTCGATATTTGGGGATCTAATTCAAATCGAATTTCCAACCCATTCAAGGAAACCAAAAAAAAAAAAAAAGAAGATGAACAAAATCCCCTTGGCTAGATAAATACATAATATAGTTTATTAATTGTGGGCATAGCTTACGCTGGGAGAACATAGGCGAGCCATGAGTCCATCATATTCGGTTTGGATCTTAGAAAGGCGCTTTGAAAGCCGCTGAATTTCAGCAGAGATATCGACCATGTCAGCAAGGGGAAGGTAAGCCTCCAAACCTTCACTTGCTACAAGATGCACCGATTGATTGGCATCACCTGCTCATCATTCCATTAAAAAGAAAAATAATTAAACAATGGATTGATGGCGAGCCCTTCATAGCTCATTATAAGATGTAAAGAAAAAATCTATCGTATAAAACGGAAAAGAAAATGGTCAGTTTTATTGGGATACCCGGTGCAGATTCGGAAAAACTGATGTTCTGTAAATCAAGCTTTGAGAGCAGAGCCAAAACATCTCTTTCTTTCTGCATAAATGATCAATGACAAGGAATCTTATTTTCCTGATAACAGATAGCATTTTTAAGGGTACAACTGCACCAGTGAGATTACATCTAAAACACATACAAAAAAGAATAAGAGTCAATTGCAGCTAGTTCATTGGAATTTTCACAGATAATACAGAAGCTTAGCCCAATAATTTGGACTCAAGTATGGTTAAAGTAACATTAAAACAATCACCCTAAATTAAACCCATGAAATGGACAGGGTACCTTGACAACATAACAAAACAGAATGAGAAGAGAAATAGGAGGAGACTAAAAAAGGAGCATTCAAAACCACATCACATCAAGGTGTCTTGCTTTCTTTTACCGTTACATTTTAAAAACAGGCGGAAGTTAAAGTGTCATCTCTTATTTCTAAAGCTCACGGATGCTTTCACCTATAATATGCAAGTATAAAAGAAGTATCCTGTAAGATCATTCAGAAAGTCGCTCACTATATTTTTGTATCAAGTTCATAAAATCTTGAATATCAATATTTCAGACAATTCAGGACATGGGGCAGATAGATCTGCAGTTCAAGTGAAAGCAAACACGTCATTGAATAACTAGTCCAGTATTACACTGAAAAAAGTAGCCCAATTGGTCAGCTTACAGAGATGTATTGGATGACTTCTGAATTTGCAACAATAGACGCAGATATACGCCGAGCTGGTTCAACTGAGTATTCTGCCCGAGCATTGCGGATTGCTCTAGTCTGGGATCACACGGAAAATATGCAAAAAAAACTATCATTTAAGTCCACACTATCTTTCACGTTCCTTGGACATAGGAGGAGGAGAAGAAGAAGAAAAAGAAAAATAAAAAAAAATAAATTATTACCAAAGCCTGTAAATTTTCGAACTTCTTGACGGACTCAGCTTGCCTTGGAAGTGAAGTATGTGGCCAAGCGGATATAATAAGAGCTTCTTTTCTGTTGGGTAAGGACTGTAAATAAAGAGGATTAGACTGGACAGAATATTCTCAATTCAAAAAAAAAAAAAAAAAAATGACAATTTTTTCGTAGGGAACTAGAAGCATCAAGTTGACCTAAGCTAATACTCCCCAACTAAGCCATCTTATAATCGTTGAGAAGTATATTCAAGCCAACATATCATATGGTACTAATGGATCACCAGACTTGGAGGTTTCAGAGAAATATATAAAAAACACGAGCTATTTTGTCTTTTGTAGTCCACTGTACATTGAGCAGTCAGAAAACAGGCTAACACCAGGTGAGGAGTTATACAGGCTTAGAAAAGTGTACTTTACCAATATAATTAATTAAGTTCCATTTAGGCTCCACAACACTTGGATTCAATAGAAAAAGTCAACATGCCAATCCATGTGGCACAACTGACGTTGGAAAAACATAATGACACCTAAGCTGTGTAGAATTACAATAACTGGAGGCTATTTTGAGAAATCAAAGAAGATAAGTTGCCAAGATAGTAAGGAAATATAATATTGTTTTCTTAGCTCCAAATAATTGGTGGATAAATGTGTGAGCAGATTTGAGATAATCTATACAAACTTGAGCCTTCTATACCTGCCAAAGCACTTCAGTTACAAATGGCATGAACGGGTGAAGTAATTTTAGTATATTCTCAAAGACATACAACAGTACAGCTTGCGCCATTAGAGCAACCGAATCACCTCCCGACTGATATAGTCGAGCTTTACTTGCTTCGATATACCTAAGCAGAATAAGAATAGAATGGGTACGACATAAAGGAAGAAACAGAATAAAGATAAAACCAAAGCGCTGGAGGATGAACATTCTGATTGCTAATATGTAACATTCCCATATTTAAAAGAAAAATGAAAAGGCCAAAAAGCAAACCAATCAGCAAAATCAGCCCAAAAGAAATCATATATTTCTCTTGCAACGTCTCCAAAAAAGTACTTGTCGTAACTCATTGTGACAGCATCTATTAGCAAATGAAGTTTTGATACCTGCAAATTGTGTCAATTGAAAGAGTCAAAAGAAAATGCTTGTACAATGTACACCATAACAATATCAGGATGCTATCTTACCGCCCAGCATTCTGGTAGAGGTAGCTTGGATAGTGACTCATCTGTATCAAACTGCAAAAAAAAAAAAGCAGTGGCAGCACACTTCAAAAAATGCACAATTTTTA